CACTTCCTAGGGCCGCCGCTAGGGGGCGCTGTTGAGGGGGTTCGGGGACCCTCAGCCCCCTCGGGGTAGGGGGACCTCTGCAACCATGGGGGAACGGAACTTTTCTCCCCCATGGGGGAACAGGGCTCACTTCCCCTCGGGGGAAGCCCAAATCTTCCTCCCGGGAAACGCCAGCACCCTCCTCTCGCACTCACAGCCCCAGCGGCGGGGCATGCGCCCGCAGACGCCCTAGACGGAGGGCTGGGGTCCCTGTCAGGGTAGGGCACCCCCTGTAAGCCAGGGACAAGCGGCGACCAAAGCCTCTTCCAAAACTGCAGGCAAACAGGCCGGCGCGGAAAGCCCCCAGCAAGCCAGCACCACTCAAAGGGGAAGAATCCTCACCTGGCCCGCAGCGCTGATGAGCCCCAGGCTCCGCCCCTGGCCGGAGCCTGACCCCGCCCACCCAACTCTGGCTGCGCACAGATGCACTTCCTAGGGCCGCCGCTAGGGGGCGATGGTGAGGGCGGGTTCGGGAATCCTCAGCCCCCACCGGTCTGGGGCCACCCCTGCACCCATGGGGGTACGGGATTGTCCTCCCCCATGGGGGAATGGGGCTATCTTCCCCTTGGTGGAAGCCCAAATCTTTCCCCCGGGGAACACCTGCACCCTCCTTCGCACTCACAGCCCCAGGGGCATGCCGAGCGACCTAAGGCACCCTAGACGGAGGGGTGGGGTCACTGTCCGAGACGGCCCCCCTGTACGCCACAGACAAGCGGCGACCTCGGCCTCTTCCAAAACTGCAGGAAGACAGGGTGGCGCAGAAAGCCCAGGGCAACCCAGCCCCACTGAAAGGGTAAGAATCCTCACCTGGCCCAGCAGCGCTGATGAGCCCCAGGCTCCGCCCTGGCCCTAGCCTGACCCCGCCCACTGGACTCTGCATGCGCGAAGGGGCACTTCTCAGGGCTGCCGCTAGGGGCGCTGGTTAGGGAGTTCGGGAACCTCAGCCTTCATGGGGTTTGGGGGACCTGTACCCCCATGGGGAAACGGGGCACCCTTCCCCCATGGGGGAACGGGGCACTCTTCCCCCTTGGGGGAACGCTGAGTCTTTCCCCCGGGGCACACCTGCAACCTCCTCTCGCACTCACACCCCTAGGGGCATGCCGTGCGCCTGAAGACGCCACGGTCACTGTCAGGGGGGCACCCCCTGGAAGCCACAGACGAGCGGTGACCGTGGCCTCTTCCAAAACTGCAGGCAGACAGGCCGGCGGGGAAAGCCCCGGGCAACTGTCACCACTCAGAGGGGAAGAGTCCTTCCCTGGCCCAGCAGGGAATGAAGAGCCCGAGGCTCCGCCCCTGGCCCAGAGCCTGACCCCGCCCACTGGACGGCTCGTGCGCGAAGGTGCACTTGTCAGGGCCGCCGGTAGCGGGCGCTGGTGAGAGGGTTCGCGGACCCTCAGTCCCCACGGGTTTAGGGGGATCTCTACCCCCATGGGGAAATGGGACCCACTTCCCCCTTAGGACCGGGGCACCCTTCCCCCTTGGGGGAACGGTCAATCTTCCCCCGGGGGCACACCTCCACCCTCTTCTCGCACTCACACCCCCAGGGCCAGGCCGTGCTCCCTCTGACGCCCATGAGGGAGGGGCGGGGTCACTGTCGGGGGGGCACCCCCTGGAAACCACAGACGAGCGGCGACCGCGGCCTCTTCCTAAACTAGAGGCAGACAGGCCGCGGGGAAAGGCACCGGCAGCCCAGCCCCACTCAGAAGGGAATAGTCTTCACCTGGCCCAGCAGCGCTGATGAGCCCCGGGCTCCGCCCCTGGCCGCAGTCTGGCCCCGCCCACCAGATTTTGCCTGCGCAACGGTGCATTTCTCAGGGCCGCCGAGAGGGGGCACTGGTCAGGGACTTCCCAGACCCTCATCCCCCACGGGTTGCGGGTCCCTCTACACCAATGGGGTTACGGGGTACTAAGTCCCTTACAGGGACCCGGTTCTCAAGACCGTTTTGGGAACAGGTCCCCTTCCCCCTGGTGGATACCTGCACCCTCCTCTCGCACTCACACCCCCAGGGCCAGGCCGTGCCCCCAAAGATGCCCATGAGGGAGGGGCGGGGTCACTGTCAGGGTGGGCACCCCCTGGAAGCCACAGACGAGCGGCGACCGCGGCCTCTTCCAAAACTAGAGGCAGACAGGCCGGCGTGGAAAACCCCGGGCAACCCAGCACCACTCAGAGGGGAAGAGTCCTCACCTGGCCCAGCAGCGCTAATGAGTCCCAGGCTCCGCCCCCGGCCGGAGGCTGACCCCGCCCACTGGATTATGCATGCGCAGAGGTGCACTGCTCAGGGCCGCCGCTAGGGGGCGCTGGTGAGGGAGTTCTGAAACCTCAGTCCCCATGGGGTTTGGGGAACCTCTACCCCCATGGGGAAACGGGACCCACTTACCCCATGGGGGTACGGGGCACTCTTCCCCATTAGGGGAACGGTCAATCTTCCCCCCGGGTCACACCTGCACCCTCCTCTCGCACAGACAATCCCAGGGGCAGGCCGTGCGCCTGAAGACGTCCTTGACGGAGGGGCAGGGTCCCTGTCAGGGAGGGCACCCCCTGTAAGCCACAGATGAAAGGCGACCGCGGCTTCCTCCAAAACTGCAGAGACACAGGACAGCGGGGAAAGGCCCCGGCAAGCAAGCCCCACACAGAGGGGAAGAGTCCTCACCTGGCCCAGCAGTGCTGATGAGCCCCAGACTCCGCCCCCGGCTGGAGCTTGACCTCGCCCCCCGGACTCTGCCTGCGCAAAGGGGCTCTTCTCAGAGTCTACGCTTGAGGGTGCAGGTGAGGGGTTTTGGGGACCCTAGGCCCCCACGGGGTTAGGGGGCCCCCTACCCCGATTGGGAAACGGGATCCGCTTCAACCATGAGCAAACTGGGCCCCCTTCCCCCTTGGGGGATTGGTAAATCTTTCCCCCGTGGAACACCTGCACCCTCCTCTCGCACTCACAGCCCCAGGGGCACGCCGAGCGACCGAAGGCGCCCTAAACGGAGGGGCGGGGTCACTGTCCGAGACGGCACCCCCTGTACGCCATAGACAAGCGGCTACCGCGGCCTCCTCCAAAACTGCAGGCAGACAGGGCGGCGCAGAAAGCCCAGGGCAACCCAACCCCACTGAAAGGGTAAGAGTCCTCACCTGGCCCAGCAGCGCTGATGAGCCCCAGGCTCCGCCCTGGCCCTAGCCTGACCCCGCCCACTGGACTCTGCATTCGCAAACGTGCACTGCTCAGGGCCGTCGCTAGGGGGCGCTGGTGAGGGAGTCTGGATCCTCAGTCCCCATGGGGGTTGGGGGACCTCTACCCCATGGGGAAACGGGGCAGCCTTCCCGCATGGGGGAACGGGGCACTCTTCCCCCTTGGGGGAACGGTGAGTCTTCCCCCGGGGCACACCTGCAACCTCCTCTCGCACTCACACCCCTAGGGGCAAGCCGTGTGCCCGAAGACACCCTAGACGGAGTGGCGGGGTCACTGTCAGGGGGTGCACCCCCTGAAATCCACAGACGAGCGGTGACCGTGGCCTCTTCCAAAACTGCAGGTAGATGGGCCGGAGCGGAAAGCCGCGGCAACCCAGCACCACTCAGTGGGGAAGAGTCCTCACCTGGCCCAGCAGCGCTGATGAGTCCCAGGCTCCGCCCCCGGTCGGAGCCTGATCCCGCCCAACAGACTGTGCTTACGCAAAGGTGCACTTCTAGGGGCCGCCGGGAGGGGGCGCTGGTGAGCGCGTTCGCGGACCCTCAGCCCACACGGGGTTTGGGGGACCTCTACCCCCATGGGGAAACGGGACCCACTTCCCCCATGGGGGTACAGGGCTCTCTTCCCCCTTGGGGAAACGGTCAATCTTCCCACCGGGACACACCTGCACACTCCTATAGCACTGACAACCCCAGGGGCAGGCCGTGTGCCTGAAGACGTCCTTGATGGAGGGGCGGGGTCACTGTCAGGGAGGGCACCCCCTGTAAGCCACAGACGAGCGGCGACCGCGTCTTCTTCCACAATTGCAGAGAGACAGGCCGGCGGGGAAAGGCAAGGGCAACCCAGCCCCATTCAGAGGGGAAGAGTCTTCACCAGGCCCAGCAGCGCTGATGAGCCCCGGCTCCGCCCCCCGCTGGAGCCTGACCCTGCTCACTGGACTCTGCCTGCGCAACGGTGCACTTCTCAGGGCCGCCTTGAGGGGGCGCTGGTCAGGGACTTCGCGGACCCTCATCCCCCACGGGGCTTGGGGGCCCTCTACACCAACCGGGTTACGGGGTCCTAAGACCCCTACAGGGACCAGGTTCTCAAGCCCGTTTTGGGAACGGGTCCCCTTCCCCCTGGTGGATAGCTGCACCCTCCTCTTGCAATCACACCCCTAGGGCCAGGCCGTGCCCCCAAAAACGCCCATGACGGAGCGGCGGGGTCACTGTCACGGGGGGCACCCCCTGGAAGCCACAGACAAGCGGCGACCTCGGCCTCTTCCAAAATTGCAGGCAGACAGGCCGGCGCGGA